AAAGTTCCCTATAAACAATTTAATAAAATTTTTAAAGAAAATAAACATTTTTATTGCCTAAAATGCAGCATAGCATTCCTTAGTTTAGTGCACCTGCAGCTTAAAATGGGTTCCAACATGTGAAAAGCTCAGCTCTGTCTGCTTGACTTATCAATACAGTGTAGAACTGATCCGGTGATTTTTTGGATTACTTGATTAATAATTGGATAGCAAAAGTCACCTAATAAGGATTTTTTTTAAAGAATTTGAACAAAATGAAGAAAAATGCCACTTGAGGAGTTATGGGCAGAACATATTTACAGAGATGTTTTTATTTTAGATGTTCATTCTTTGTACAGTTTTGTCTTAACTGCTCTAAGTGTGTTCTTTCAGTAAATCGCCTTTTTTGAGTCTGCATTAATTGACTATTAAAATAGTTGACATCTATTTCAATAAGAACCCTGCACTGATTTGGCTGAATTACCTTCACAGTGCACAAACAGATGTAAAAATATGAATATCCTCTTTATTATGTACATTGCATGACAATTTATGTATTTTTATTTTTTAAAACAAAAAACGATTACATCGTTTCCCATCCAAGCTGGTGGATTTACAATACATGAAAAAAATATTTCCACCCAGTGGAAAACAATAAAACGTGAAATTGTAGAGATTCCTGCACCAGCAAATGAAAACAAAATTAGCAGCAATATTAGATTTAAAAAACTGCATTTTGAATTGGAATGTTAAGAAATCATTAAAAAAAAAAAAAACACACACACACACACTTTAGTGTCTCCTAATAGACAGCAAAAAAAAAGGTTAAATGTGACCTTTTATGCTACCTTGAACAGGTTAGGAAGGTTTATGGGGTTTACAAAACTATCGATTAAATTTTTTGTACAAATTATCTTAGTGAGATTTTAGTCTGGTCAGTTCTCCTTTTAGGGCCTCCTGTCACTTTAAATCCAAATAAGCTACTGCTGGCCACACACCCCTCAACTCAATGTTTACACCCTACTGTGAAAATGGCTGTAAACAGATGTGCAACTTTGCAACTGTACATCTTCGAAAAGCATTAGTCAAGCCTCCTACACAACCAACAAGAATGCAGCAAGTGTTTATGGATGATACGTCAACAACAAAACACTTGTCTTTTCCAGCAGCCATTGTACCGTGCATACAGTGGTAAAATCAGCAGAACAAACGTGATGGAGCTCAGCTTTAGTTGCTAGGTGACAGTGAAGTGCCTGTCGATTGTGCACGTTTTTAAGAGAAGCTGAGACCCAAATGGAAGCATAAAATCATGAGAAAGTGAATTGTGCGTACAAGGTGCCCCTTAAGATATTCAAGTGGCTCAATTAAAGTATTAATTATAAAAATACTGTATGTGTTCAAGAGCAAACAGCAGCAATCTCAAACAAAATGTGTTGGCGTTAGTGGGCGGGATTGCTCCTGCATGTCTTTAGTGTAGTTTGCTTTGTGAATCCAGTGCAGAAATAAAGCAAAGTGGATGTAAAAACAAACAAAAAAAAATCGATAATTTATCATGCAGGTTCCTCGAACATCAGAGACGTATGTCCATCGGAGCGGCCGCACAGCAAGAGCCACCAAGGAGGGGCTCAGCTTGCTGCTCATCGGCCCAGACGATGTGATAAACTTCAAAAAGATTTCCAAAACTCTGGGAAAGGATGAGGAGCTCCCCACCTTCCCCGTGGAAAACAAATGCATGAAGGCCATCAAGGTATAACCCATCAGCATCATGTGACAGAGCTCTGTGATTTTATGTCTCCATTAACAAAACGTCTGGCATGTTACAGGAGCGCGTGAACCTCGCCAGGAAGATAGAAAAGATTGAATACTACAACAACAGGGAGAAGCAGCATGACTCGTGGTTCAAGCAGGCAGCAGAGGCCCTGGAGGTCGACCTCGACGATGACCTCCTGATCGGTAAAATTAAGTTAAACGCACTCAATTTACAGCTTTTCCCGGTCACTTTGGTGCATTTCTCAAAACAATTCATGCAAAAAACAAGTTTCTTAAAGTCCTTAGCTCATCAATCAAAAGTAAAATCTCTGATTCAGTATGACCAGTTATTTTATTGAGACACTCAAACTGCCGTCATGTTAATATAACGGTGTACTCAGGATTATCTGTTTTGATGACAAGTATTGTAATTATGGGAGATCAAAGAATTTAAATTCTGTACTGAGAAATGCACCAAAGTACTACAGAGTATTAGAGCCATACTAATAAAAAATAAAAATTGAGAATAAAGTCATGAGACAAAACTCGCATGAGAATAAAGTCATTACAATAATGTATGAAAATAAGTCAAAATAATATAAGGTCATAAGTCATATTTTGAGAATAGTTGTAAAATTATGACTTTATTCTCGTAATGCTATTTTAGCGTGGTCCTAATATGCTATCATATGATGGACTATTAGGGCCATTGTAGCTAAAAAAAAAGTAACTTTTTGCCAAAAAATCTCAGTTTTCTGGAGAAAAACCAAATTTGAGTTTGAAAAGTCAAAAAATGTGCAAAAAGAATTACATTTTGAGTGTAATCTCAGGAATATTCTAGAGAAATTGTGGACATTTCTGGATTCGAAGTTGCAAATTTGCTAGAAAAACTCAAATCTTTGAAAAAACTTGGAGATCTTTCAATTTTTGATACACTTAAGTTTCTAAAATGTCAATTCCTTTACGTCTAGCAAACATGTGACTTTTCAAACTTAGAAATGTCCTTATTTTTTCTAGAAAATTTGTTTCCCCTCTTTTTCCATCTGCAATGGGTGTACTAAAGCAGCTGAGAAAAACCCAAGTTAAAAAAATACTCAAATCACTAAAAAAAAATAATACTGAAAACCATCTGTGTCCACAGGCAGCGCTAAAGACCAGGAAACAGACATGGAGCAGAAGAAGATGGTAAAGCAGATGAAGAAGAATTTAAAACATCTGATCTCTCAACCAATTTTTAAGAACTTGGTAAAAACAAAGTACCCGACTAAAATGGGAAAACTGGCCCTGGCGAACATGCCTGTTGCAGGGATGGAAAGCGCCCTGACCAGGATTTCTGGACAGAAGCAGCTGAAAAGATATTTCCCACAACAGCAGAAACAACAAAAACAAAGGACAAGGATCAAGAAGCAGGAATAATGTGGTTAAAGAAAAAGTTTCTGCACTAAAAAGAGCTTAATTCTACCTTTAATAATTCTTATATTTGTGTAGCTTTGAGGATGGGCTGCTATATTTTATAAAGTTCTGTTTTCATAATGATCTGAAAGCCTGTGTGTGTTTTTATTATCGTCATTTGGCCGCTTCCTGAGCTAGTCACAGGCAAGTCCGTTGGTATAGAATGTTGTAATGTGAAGCCTGGTAGAGGAGATGCACGGATGGATCCACTCCCTCGGGAATGACGTGGTGCACCAGCTGCTGCTCGTTACCCTCCATGGACACAATGTGGATCCCAACGTCCAGAGCCTGCGACAGGGCCAAGATATCGACGTGGTCGCACTCCATGGCCATCACCTCCACTTCCTGAACGAGGCCAAACAAGACTCCATCAGCACCACGAGTGCAAACAAATAATTCATTACATCTTAGATTAAAATAAGTTCCGATCTACGGAATAATGTAGATCGGAACTACAACACCAACTACAACTTAGTGTTGTAGTTTGGCCGCCATCCATCAGAGGGCGCCGCAGGTCATCTTTAAATGGAGCAATTGACACAGAAATAAACAAAGATGGCGGCCATATCAGAACGGCGAAGAGTAACGGTCGCAAAATGCACTTTATGCAGTTCTGTTTTGAAATAAACACCCGAAAAATCCTTAAGACGTTTCGAAACATAAATGCTTGACAAACTCCTTAAGTTTCACCTTGATCGCGCTCATTCAGCCGAGCTGCGTCAGCTTCTCATTCAAAAAGTACCGATATGCTACACAGGCTAAGATGTTATGACAAAAAGGCGCAAAGGATAAAAAATTTAACGGGAAAAAGAACATGCCAATAAGCAAGGTTGATTTGAGGGCTTTAATGTACTTTATGGAAAGAAGTTTAAACATTTCGTCAAGAGCAAACAATGCTTCCTTATGAGCATCTCCGTTTCCTGGTTCACATATTAATTCAGCAACCTAAGAGATTCCGGTTTTGTTATATTTTATTTAATGTGTTCAGTTTTAATACAACTGAAAATGAGACATTTTCAAAATGTAGTTCTTTGTTACTGCAAGACAGTAAGAAAATTCAGGTTTTTTAAAAATGGCCGCTTATTAATCTAAAGTTGGTCCATAAAAATCAATTAGCTCATTAATTAACACCTTCTTATATCCATTTTAAACTCCCAATAATAAATTTTCTCAGCAGGCGTTAGGTTTGTTCCCTACCTGACGACAGTACACCTTCAGATCTGGAGCCTCAACAAAGTTGCAGAAGAAGTCTTCATGGATTTGGAGGTGTGCAGACGTGAGCAACCTGAGGAACTGCACAACGCTGTCTGAGATGATCTGTTCGTTGAAGAGCCTGAGGAGAACGTCTTCATGCTGCGCAGCAATGCACTGATCCACCACATGTAGGACCTGCAGGGCGAGACAAACGGTAAACAGATAGAGCTGCAGAGGCGGAAAACATTTCTGTCATTTTTCTTTCCTGCAGCCAGAGCAAGAAATATTTTTAAAGCTGTTTGGATGATTGTTGGTTCTGATGCCAAAATGTTCACATTAAGTCCAAACCAGTTGGTTGGGCTCAACTGGTTTGATTAAATGGAAGTGAAACAAAGGTTGCCGTTTGAAAATCCCCGTCTATATTTCTAGAAAGTGTTGGCTCCACAATGGGGCAATGTTAATTATTTCAAGTATTTCAATAAGAATCAAGAAGCTGACTAAGACTTAAGGCAGTCGTGTCCAAACTTTTAGCCATAAAAGCCAAAATTGTAAAGTCAAAAGCATTTTATACCACAATCAAGTAATTATATGACCTCGAGTGTTAAAAATGCTCCATGTAGCAAATATGACTAAAAAGACATTTGTAATTCAACGCCTTGAAATTGGGACCATCTCTTTAAGAAACTCCTGCTCTGAATCTCCACCACAATATAAACTCACTGTGCTCTGGAGGTGGTCGAATGAAGCCTCTTCAAATCCTGCAGAAATCAGAACTTTTCCACTTTGTATTACCCGGTCCTTAAATCTGAAATAAAGAAAGACAAGACATAAAAAACATTTTTCTATGTGTGATACTGACCTCAGCTTGGCTCTGGGTCTCTGCAGAGTAAAGATACTGATGCTGGGATTGTGCAGAGTTCAGTTTATTTCTGAAGTGCTTTGAGCTGGAGTGGCCAAATGTTTCATCATATGGCCCAAAACTGTCAAGTCTAAATGACTCAATGACTCAGACCAAAAACAGAAAAAAAAGCAAGATACAGGAGTTTGTTTTAAGTCAATAATTCCTTAATATTGACAAAAACATTCCACTGCTAGATTATTTCACTTATAAGAAGGATGTTGTTATAAGTGAAATAATCTGCCAGTGGATCTAATACTTTTTCATCAACATCAGGGAATTATTTACTTCAAACAAGCTGCTATATCTTTCTGAAAAGTTACTTGCTCCTCAAAGAAATCCATTTAGCAGATTAGCTTAATGCCGCCAGAAGGAATATGGAGCACCGTAATTTGACGACAGCTAATAAATAGATTCATAAAGATGAAAGCGAAGGATATGTCCGTAATTTCAGTGTGCTTTAGTTAGTTTCATAGATGTATAGTATAATTCCAATTATTGCTTTTATTTATTTCAATTAGCAAAAATTTTTTTCTCAGTTTCAGTTTTTATTTTGCTAGTTTTAGTAAAACGGCATTATTGTGCAAGAACAACTTTTTTGAGCTTTACGTCATGTTATATTGTCATTTCCTAGTCAAAAATACACCTGGAGTGTTGCTTTGATTCTTTCATGTATGTTTGATAAATCTTTTAATCTCCATGGCAACCATTCAGCTGTGTGAAACAGCTGGATGGACCTAGCCTTGCCTTCAAGCCACAGCTCCTCCTCAGAGCTGCAGGTTCTGAGGAGGAGTGTTGGAGTGCAGCCCTCCAACACCCAGCTCCTTCAGACTAGCCAGCAGCAATTAGCAAACACCTGGTGGAACTGCTGAGCTCATTTTAAGAGCTACTTGTTAATAAAACACTGGTAAAAAAAACTTTGTTTTTACCAGTGCAATCTGAAACTGATGGAGTTTCAGAAAGCGCAAGAGTTTTTAAAGAGCCCAAATTCAAGGCCTTAAATTACAAAGTAAAGTCATATTTGATATATTTAGCATTCTTATAACAACTGAAGTTAACAGAGTTGCTTTATTGTGCTATAAAATGTCTCCATATGCCTGGAAAACACACTATACTGCCCCTTTAACTATAATAACCTTGTCATGGACCCCACACAATAAGTCAAAGGGCCTCAAATGGCCTGCGGGCCGCACTCTGCACACCCTTGGTTTGGGTGTCTGTGTGTCTGCATTGCACAGGTCAATACTGACCTCTGCAGGGCTCTGGGGTTGTGCAGAATCAACTCCAGGTGTGCGAAGCAGATCGCTCTGTAGAAGCAGTTTCCATCGCCGTAGACTTTCCTCACTGCCGAAAACTGGCGGCCCAAATCCTAAAAGAGGAGGAGTTGTGTTTGTTTACGACACAGCGGACCGAGTAAACCAGAAGAAGCTGCTTTCTTTTGGACATGAAGCCTCATACTTGGTACTTGGGACTCAGTGTTCCCTCCGGCAGCAGCGATGAAATGTCCTCTATGCATGAAACCAGGCTGCAGTCCTCCATCTGCCGACAGCGGAGCAGCTTTGGGACCAAAGCGCAGCTTCACACGGGCACACGCAACACCACGCACGTCAAAAGAAGCGTTGAAACGTTTTGTAAAAAAAAAAAAATTTACTTCCACTTTCCCGAAAACCGGATGTTTGCGGAAGAGCATGTCCGTAGTCCATTTAAAGGGCCAGTCCACGTTTAGCAATGCTGACGTCATGCTAAAGAAATTGTATGGTCGAAACATTTACGTCCTTTTAAAACTATAGCAAATAGATTACAGATTCACTTAAAATATTTAAAAAATACTTTATGTGCATTAGTTGAATAAAACTATCATGTTATCATTTTTATTGTATTTTTCCTGTATTGTAGCCTCTAAATTAATTGTTTTCCCTTAAAGATTGACCAAAAAAAAAACTTAGAATAAAGCAGCAACACAATGTTACTCTGCAAAATTTTGGAAAATACAAATTTTAATTGAAAAAATTGCTGAAAAAAAAAAGATTTTAAATTAATATTGTAGAATCAGTTAAATAAATGTAGCTGAAGAGTTTATTTTTTTAATGCTCTGCTTTCTAAGTTGTCCAAGAATTTTAAATGAATAATTTTTGACTTCAGATTTCCATGAACATAACCTGAAAATATTAAAAATGGGAAAGACAAGAAAACATGTTGTTTAAGAAAGAAATCAGGAAATTACTATTATTTTCAGTCAGAATCGAATCTGAATTATCTTTATTGACTTTTTGTCAACCTCACACATTCAATATAAATATATAAACTTTAGAGGGAATAGAATAAAGAATAAAAGAAATTGTATGTATGAGTATGAGCAGCCACTTAAATGTAGAAGAAAAAAGTCAGCGCAATAATTAAAAAGTTAAAAACTAGAACTATAAAAAGTAATAATATCCAGGTTTATGCTTGACATGTGGTTTTGTCAGTGTTGGATACTGATGTAAGATAATTAGTTTTAAGGTTTTATTGCAGCTTTAGAAGATGTTCCATGATGAAAAAGGGTAAATTAAGCACATTTAAGAAAAACACAGATTCCAGATTATCTGTAGAAACATAAATAACTCAATAAAAAGCCCCTATTTTTTTCTGCAAATTGCACTTCAACCCAATCTGTAATAACCATCAGAGATTAAAAGAATTTTCCTTACCTGTTTGTCTTAAATGAAACCCTTGTTTCAATGAATAATTTACTATAAATGAATGCTTGTAACCAAATTGCTCAGACACTGCATTGCATATTGTGCCTTTCTGCATTATTTGAATCTAATTCTTCATTTTGAAATGAAACAACGGCTACATCCCCATGACATTTTCCTGATTCTGGAAATAAAAGACGCACTCAAGTGGAAAACAGGTTCAAAACACAAGCCATAAAAACACACTTTAATGTGACTAGCAGAATAAAAGCTTGACAAAAATTAAAAAAAATGAAAACGACAGCATCAGT